TTTCTAATAAAATTGCTTTCGGGTATAAATTAGGCATTAGAGTCCACGGCTCGGGCATATACCTGATGCTCATCACGTCCTAGCTTTCCCTTCGAGAACACAACACAGAGAAAACAGACAGCCCAAGAACTTGTAACTTTAGAAAGCCATTCGTTTTGGGCTGTGATTTTATAAAGCTGCTTTATTTTAATCCAATCAAATGACAAACTGTTTCGAAACGGTGGTGTGTGCTTCTTTTTTCCCAAAAATAATAGAAGTGCAACATACCTATCTAAGTTAGAAAATAATGAATCTAGCAGCACCTTATACAATGTAGTTGTAGCTAATAGCTAGATGCAATGCCATTTTCACAACCCACATTTACGATTTACTTCTTAGTAGTGAAAAGTAATATGGTACAATGAAACAAAATGTATGTAATTATATTTACTTTTTAAGCATAGAGGCGTGTTTGCGAAATATTTCCCGTTAAATAATGATTGGTTTATGTGTGCTGGCTTATTTCCACAGGCTATATCGGGGAAAGCCTTTCTTACAAATAACGGAAACAACAGTTGACTTGTTATAACAACGGTACATCTATTATTGGTGATCTGATCGAGGATTGATGGAGATGAGATGCTCACTTGTTCAGTGCCTGAGGAATGGGAGCGGTACGGGAGGGTGATTTTATAACATCAAACGTCAGGAAGATTTCAGATCTCCTGCAGAATTATACAGGGTGACTGGAACTGAACCCGCCATAGCTAATACGCGTATAGAGGAGGTCATTTGCTAATTATTGAACCTTACTTTCTATAGTTTAGGAGATATGTCAATTTTTAAACTTTTTTCAGATTTTTCCGAAATATTACCTAAAACTGCTTTAATTTTTTTCTCGCATGATTTTAACCGATTTTTTTATTTGATACTAATATCGAATAAACTTTTAGTTAAATCTAATTTTCAGATCCAGATAATGATTGAATAACTAGCCACGAGCCGCCAAAGTTCAACAAAAGTACAAACCACGATAAAAAATTAAAGTTCGAATTCGATTTAAAAAAAAGCTAATGGTGATAATGGATTGCCAATGATCTTCGGAAAAATCTAAAAAAAGTATAAAAATTGACATATCTCCTAAACTATAAAACTTTAGTCAAAGAAAGTAGGGTTCAATAATTAGCAAATGACCTCCTCTATACGCGTATTAGCTATGGCGGGTTCAGTTCCAGTCACCCTGACTGACTGAATAAAATGCCACAGTGTTAAGCTTGATGTGCTCTCCAGTGACATTATCGTATTCTTGCTTAAGTGAAGCAGCAAATCGAACGCACAGCGTCGGTTAGAGCTCTGTGATTGGTTCGTGTGTCACCCTGTGCGTCCACGCGCACTGTGAGACCTCATAGTAATGTTTGTGAATACGGGCGTAAATGTTGTTGGATAATCGCACTTAATACCTACGACTGGACAAGATGTCACAGTGTTAAGCTTGATTTGCTCTTCTTCCTTTCCCGGGACTCAAACTATCTCTATGCCAAACATCAAAATCGGTTCAGTGGTTTAGGCGTGAAACAGACAGACAGAGTTACTTTCGCATTTATAATATTAGTATAGATTCATTGGTAGGTTTTTGGAATATCAGTTTATTGTCCTCGACTAGAAATAAAAATGTATTAATTATGTAGTTAGGTAATGTTATGTAGATAGATGCCAGGAGCTATAAGATTCGTTCATTCATCTTATATGCCACTTCATTTGTATGAACCTTTTCAGACCTTACTCGTCTATTTTTAGACATATTACTTCGCAATATCTTTCTAATCAGCTGTCCATTTCATTCAACGCACTGTAAACCCTTATTTTCCAAATGATATGGTTCAAATTCGAATAATACATACGACCATTGCCACAATGGTAGCAATTAAAGCTCGCATTCGCTACATACATTTTATTGCTTTGTCCGTCTGTCTGGCGAAAGTCGATTATTTATGCAATGCGGCTTCCTATCTGAAATAATGATTGACTCGTATAATTTTTTGTGCAATACGTAATAACGTGTATTATTGTATTTATATGAAAGTCGTAATACAAATGCTTGCTATGAAAGTTGAGCAATCATTTTTCACGTGTGATAGAAGTAGAGATCAGTCCTTCTTATTAAAAACAGAAACTTTTCTTAAGGTGTGTGACTAGGCTTTTTTCCACGAGCTTGCTGTAGGATAGAAAATATTGTTATACCAATAAGCTTTAAACAAGCTGACTCTGATTGACAATATTTTGGAAAAGTGAATACAAAAAGAACTACATACAAGAAACCCGTTTATAACAGGTTCCAGAAGTAATCTATTATTTTATTGTGACGCCTTATTGTTAAAAACTTAACATTTTACACAATGAAGTTGTTAAGATAACATTAAACGTTTACATAAGCATTAGTTACATTATATTTTCTTTCTAAACACTTCCATTGTTGAACAAACAATTTAAACTATTGTTTTGTTGTGTTATTAAAAACTTATAATTACATACAATTCTTTATGTAAATACCTACCAGCTGAAATACTATTTCCACGTACGCTACGTTTCCCTTCTAAAAGACAGTTGAAGCCAATAATAATACGTTATTATTATAATTAATAAAACTGTTAATAATAACGTGTAATAAAAACAGTAATACTGATTGCTGGGTTTCTGCTTTTTAAAACACGGCCACAGCTGGCCGTAATTTGCTTTGTCGTATTATTATTTGCACGAAAATCTCGACAATTCTCGTATAAATACAATATAATGACACGAGCAAATTTGACCATACATTGACGAGTAACTGCGAGTAATATTAGAGGTGTCATTTGAAGATTTTATTGCTGTACTTACTAGCTTTTGCGTTGTCACAAATTGTCATAAATTATAGCCTATATTTTATTCTGGGTTATAAACAATAATACTGTAAAGTTTCATCAAAATCCGTTCAGTAGTTTTTGCGTGAAGGAGCAACAAACATTTTTACATCCAGACATCCATACAAACTTTCGCATTTATAATATTAGTAGGATTAGTAGCATGTGTGCGGGCGTAGGCCTATTTGCCTCTGGTAAATTAGAGGGTCGTGTTCCTGCAGTTTAGACCAAAATTTATTAATACTGCTACTGATATATGACAAAGTACCTATTACAGTTTAGGTATATGAACTGCCATAACAATACCATCAATATCAGTATAAAGATTTTCATAATTTCAGTATCAATTAGATAATATGCATTGATATCTTCACCTTATTGATTTCGTTTAGTTCCAAAATAGCTCCTATTTCATAAATAAGATGTTTACTTTGATGAGCCTCCATCACACACATAATAACCGGACACATCCCGATCAAGATTCTTGAAGTTGGGTTTTTCTGCCACAAAATACTTACAGTCAGCGTCAAATAGTTCGTGACACCCAAGGTAGCCAAAAAGTTCGTAACACGTCTTTGTTACAATGAGGGCTATCGTTTTAGCGCTCACCAGTTAGCGCCACTGTAGAGTAAGGTCCTGTCACTTGCTAGTAGCGAAGACAGTGGCGCTAACTGGTGAGCGTTAAAGTGGTAGGAGGACTATCGCAATTGCACTCATCAAGATGGCGCCACTGTAGAGTAAGGTCTTGTCAATCGCCAGGGGTGCCAACTGTTAAATAAAAAAACGATAGCCCTCATTGGAATAAGGTTGTGTTGTCAACTTTTCGGCCATTTTGGGTGTCACGAACTTTTAGAAGCTGCAAATATGGTATAACAGTAAAAACACCCAAAACAACAGATGACAAAAGAGGGCATATCGAAAGTGTAGGCCATCATAATATTTGTCTGGCACTCGCAGCGGTCATTACCGCGGCCACCTGGCACGGTCATTACCATCTCGTGTTTGTTACCGATTCCCATTTACCGAAATGATTTAACTAAAAAAAAAGAATCTCGACGAAAAATCTATTAAATTGGCATCCTTAAACCATTTGGAAAAGAATGATTTTCATTTAACGAGCATTAATTGATAAAATTTGAAAACTTTAATTAGTATCTTTTAGTTTTGAAAGAGAGTGCTTTCTGAATTTCTTCGTACAACGTTTATCATCATATTATTATAACTCTAGAATATCAAAAATAATTTTAAAAGGAAACCAGTTATTAAGGTTCGAGTTTGAGTTCCTCACAAACTCGAGTTATAATTTAATAAATTAAAAATCTTGTAAGAAAGTTAAAAGGAAGGAAATAAAATATAACACGGTTGTGTGCTATGAATAAATCAAGCAAAATGTTAAATGTAATTATGAAAATTTTTCTACTTTCCTTTAAGTATAGACCACAGCATCTTATTTAATTGTATTAAGTTCTATTTTGCAACGAAAATGTAGTGCTTGATCTGCAAAACATGTTAACAACTCTGACCCGGACTTTCTTGATACTAAACAACGTATAACGATTGTTAGACTTGTAGATAAATGCTTCAAATTAAATCAAACGAACTTATTGTTTCGCTTATAAGGGCTTATAATAAGTGGTCTTATATGTGGTCACTTTGGATCGTTTTCCAATCATTCTTCTATGCTAACAAGAAATTATTGGGGTGCTTTCATTTAGAGTAGAGCAGGATTTTCATAAATTCCCTTTAGTTCACTGAAATAAAATGTCTTTTTATTCAATTTAGACCAAGATTTGACACTTACGGCTAGTAATGTATAAATGTATTGCTTATCATCTACCTTCATCCTTCTGAGGTTCATTCAGAAAAACCTTAAGGAATGTAACTCAAGGTTTTTCTTAGTTTTAAGTCGCTGTGTAGAACTAATTACTTACTTTGTTATCTTAAATCCGCCAATAATTAGGCTCTGAAATAAGTGTATGTATTAAAACATCTTCCAAAGACTTCTCTCTCGTTGCTATTAATTTTTTATCTAAGATTACCTATTACCAATTTCATTTTCCAAGCCCTCACCCGACCACTATTTCTGTCAAGTGCACACGCTTACAAAGTGCTCCTACATAATCAAACCTGTAACTTTCCCCGTTTNTGCGCCGAGCAGCGCATGCAGGCCGGCGCCGCGATGTCCGGCACCCACTCCGGCGCGCGCTCCACGCCGCCCGCCGCCGCCGGACGCCGGTCTTCTCTGTCCCTGCGAATGTTACATTGTATTAGGATTATACCACAAAAATAATAAGTACTACCAGGCCTGTTCATCTCCGTGAGTTTATATCGAAAACAAAACACGCACGATGGCCCACCTGCAGGATACTATTCGACAAGGCCTCACATACGAGCGAACATTGACTCACGCACGCGTATTCTTGTGTATGGTGGAAGAAAATGGTGTAATAAATACTATGCAGTATTTAGCTGCCTAAATAATAATAAAAACAGAATGTACTTTTTTAAGTTGCCTCAAGACACTGAGAGGTAAATAAGTAGTTAATATTATTCATGCTAAATCATGTATTTGCTCCGCCATTTTCCGCAGTTTGGCACCTCACGTCACATCATTTTACCGAAGTCAGCCCTATAGCTTCGGCGCAGTGTCGATCACTGACGTTTGTCAACAAAATGGTGCTTGACTCTTGAGACAGGCTAAATTACACCATATTGTTAATGACATTGAGCATACATTTTTTTAAATACCTTCGCGAAGTAAAACTTTTGTACGTAGCCTTACTTATTATTATTCTGTGGTACTACGTACAAAAAGTTTTATTCACCAAGGTATTTAAAAAAATGTCTACTCAATGGCATCAACAATATGGTGTAATTTAGCTTGTCTCAGAGTCGAGCACCGTTTCGTTTACGTACGTCAGTGATCGGTACTGTGCCGATGCGATAGGGCTGATTGCTACAAGAAGCTACTGTATCGCCATCTAGCGCACAACACGCCTTTTTCTTTTTTCCCTAACGAATATTTTTTTTCCAATGGGTGAAGAATACGCGTACATACGCTCGCTTGTGAATCCCTTGTGGATTAAACCCGCCGGCGAGTACGCCGCAAGTGTTTTGTTTTCCATGGCTACTCGGGGAGATGAACAGGCCTGGTTCTCTATTGAAAATTATTATGAGCAGTGTATTCAGGTATCCACAGCGGGCGCACACCGCGAGGTTTGTCAGGAGTTTTAACGGAGGCCCTAACTGTATTGCAATCAAGTTTCTGCAGACGCCTGCTCCCCGCAGCGGACGCTCGTGCAAACAGCGCTACTTCGAAACGCTGTTTACTTAGTTTCGGGTCTATCACCATCGTTCATGCTCGTATCTTGTATTACGTGAGAGGGATAACATTTGATTTGCAATAGTTCCTCAGTAGAGATGGGTTATACTAGGTAAATTTGATACTAGGTGCACCTATTACTAGTATTTATTAATACTCGATCCAAATACCTATTCCACCTAGTACGTAGTAATTTAGCATACTTGACGCGACTAGTGCGGACTAATCCACGTAATATTATGACTTTAAAATACAATTTTTTTTTTAAAGATACATCCGTAGTATGAATAATGCAATTTGAAATTGAACTTCAACAGGCTTATGACTGTCAACTTAAAAGTTGGCGTATTTAAAAGATATCAATTTCATAAAAATATTTGCATATTTGTTCTTATTTACATGAATATGGTTTGACTACGTTTGTGTGCGTTTGCTTCGTCGCGCTCAAACTTGTTTGGTCAGACAGAGACGGAGTGAATCTCTACGTTCGCACATAAGCTTAGCGAGAAATACTAGGTGCGCGTAATACACGACTACGGATTACGCAATAATAACCTCTATTACTTTGATGGTAGGGTCGGAAATCGTGTAATTTATAAAATACTAGGTGGATCAAGTATAAAAAAAATTGGAATAGGTGCCGCCTAGTACTGTAAAATACCTAGTGTGTGGATCTGTTCTAGTAAATACGTCTCATCTCTATTCCTCAGTACCTGCAGCTGAGGTCGCCAGTGGACGCCGAGGCCTGCAGCGGCGGGTGGTCGGGCGGCGGCCGCGCGCTCACGGTGTTGCGGCGCCGCGAGCCCGCCTCCGACGCGCCCGAGTCTGATGTGCTGTCGCGTACACTTGCTCCTGGAGCGCACGCTCGTGCTAGTACCTGCAGCTGAGGTCGCCGGTGGACGCCGAGGCCTGCAGCGGCGGGTGGTCGGGCGGCGGCCGCGCGCTCACGGTGTTGCGGCGCCGCGAGCCCGCCTCCGACGCGCCCGAGTCTGATGTGCTGTCCGCGTACACTTCTTCGGCTGAGTACACGCTGTCGAATGAGCTGCCTGTGGACAAATGGGAAATGTAATAAACTGTTGTGTTTTATGCAGTCGTAAACTATACATAGCGATAACCCGAAGATTCGCGCTATCGCGATATGTGTAGTCAGTAGCAGTAAAATCGTGGTATTCAACTTCTGTGCTTTTTGCCCATAGTCACGATCACGTAGGAAAACTCCAAGCATAGCTCCCTTTATAGCCCTATGGGAGACCTTGAGCCTTCTTACGAGACCAATTTGTCACGTTAACTTAATAACACCGACTTGAGGAAATCCTTGGTGATATTCTTTATTTCGTCGGTACTTTAGTTCTCCTCATTTCTGATTTGATTACATAGGCAAACTCCGAGCATAGCTCTATTGCCCTTTGGGTGAACTTGAGCCTTTCATGAGGCCAACCCTATAGCAAGTAAGTAGTAGGGAGTAGTAGTAAAGTATAATCTGGGCCTTTTCAAAGCGAGAGTGAATAGGCACTTACAGGGCAGATATGTACCTTCCTAGACTGCATCCCACTTAACATCAGGTGTGATTGTGGTCAAATACCTGCCTTGTTATGCATAAAAAAAAAGTAACTTACCATTCTGTATGACCTGTTCCTCCGTAGGATGGTACTCCAACGCCGGCGGTTTATCCTCGCTCTCCTCTATGGGAGGCGGGGGCTCCGGCGGGTCGGGCGTCTGGTTCATGAGGAACACCGACTTGAGGATGTTCCTGAGATCCGCCGCGAAGTTGGTTTGGAGCTGGTCGGCGACGCCCGCAATGCACACGAATAAGCGGTGGATGAGATCTTCGCTTGACCTGAAGTGTATTTGAGTTACGATTATTCAATCTCTTCAGATTTTGTATTTGCTTATTTGAGGTTCTATCGTTCTACTTGGTAAAGTACGAAAAAATGAACCAAAATTCTACAGTGATGATTTGTATGAAAAGCTTGCTCATTATTATTTGCTGTATTCAATTGCAACTTAATTTGACCAACAAGTGATATCAAACGTAGGTATTAGCTCAAAATAAACAGCGTTTTAACACCTCATAAAATGTATCTCAAAATCAGAAAAACTGGTACCAAGGTATCTTTTAGTTTTTAGCCCAATGATAAGTAAAATAAGGTTCAAATTGTAGTTGTAAAATGGCCAAAAGATAATATCTGTAAAATATTATGGAAACACTATCTCACTTGAACTTGCCGCGCGCCTGCTGCCGCGCCGCCAGCTCCTGCGCCTGCAGCGCGAGCGCGATCTGCTCGTCGTCCGCGCACTCCGACGCGTCGCACATGCTGCCGCTGGAATAGTGTACGAATTGTTTTAACGCAATCAGACAACGCTAAGGTACGATATTTGCTGAACATGACTAAGCACGCAATTATTCTTGCCTATTTGATTTTTTTGAGATTTACAACAAGCCAGACTGAATACAAAGAAGCATAGATTCAAATATGCTATTGGTTAAATTTCAATATTTACCCATGAGCCTGCTCATAAATGAATAAAGTGCATTATGTAATGACGTGGTTTTAGAATACGAGCTAATATTAAATCAGTCGATTTGTAGTCACTTTTTTCTACTTTTCATTTGTGACCATGATCAAGTGCAATCGATATTACAACGCTAGCGCGACAAACGTGTAAACAAGACAATTTTATATGGATGGAACTCACCTTTCGTCCACAAAATGGTCCAAGTTCAACCTAAGAGGATTCTGATTCTGCGACGACCGGTTATCCAGTATCACCATACCAGGCGACCACATCTTCTTCTTTCTCTTAGCCTTGGTTCCTTTCCTCTTTTTCGTTCTAGACGTACTCTGTGACGGCACCGCGCTACTATTGTCTTCCACTAGCGAACTAATCTTCATATCAGACTCCCTTTGTCTTCTTAACTCCGTTATCACCTCGTCTATACTCCTAAATTCTTCTGTGCTAGCGTTCGCGCCCCAGTCTTGTAATTTTGAATTCGTCGCCTCACTCGACCCCTCCTCCTCACTTAACCTATTTATAACTATACTCGACGACCCGGCTTCGTTCTTCTGCGAATCATCCTCAACGTAATTTATATTTACAGTATTATTTACATCTGAAAAGGAACTTTCTAGTGTGTTTTTGGTGTCTTTCTCATCTGGACTCTCTAAAACCCTGTTCTGTTGCATGAATGACTCCTTTATGTCTTTACTCTGGTCTGTGTCTGGAGATCTATCTAGGCTTGTGTTTTCTGTGCTGACACCGGAATCGACGGGCGATTCGTGGTCACTTTCGTATCCTAACATGAACTTAACCCTTTCGTCGTCTTCCCTATCTAATGTCATTTTAGCCGAGTGGAAACTCGTATTGTCATCGTTACTTTCGTCAATCAAACTCTGCCTCATCTCTTCGTTGGTTAGTAGTAAAGAACTTAAATTAGCGTTAGCGATAGAAATGTTAGTATTTACAATATCCGTGTCTATATTATCTGGAATTATTAGGGGGAGATCTGAGTTGTGTATTGCATTCGCGTCGTGACTCTCATCGTCTTGGCTGAACACAGCTGAATTGTTGTGGGAGAGAGACATCACTACAGGCTCATGGCTTATCGCATTCGGTATGAGATACCCATGACTTGTAGAGGGCAAACAACTCAGCTGTTCGTTCCTGGGTCCGGAGAATCCGTACGCTTCTGTGTCATTTATTAATGTCGGTACATCGTTGGTTGAGAACGAGTGTTTCTGGTTATGGTCAACGTCGACGTCGTTGGCCATTATTGAAGATAATCTATCCGCTATTTCGGTGACTTGCTCATTCAATGAGGTCACCAAATCGTGGTCGGGTAACTGTCTGTCGGTGGAAGTAGATGCAGCCGCATTTATGACTAGCGGATCGAACATTTGTAGTAGCCCATTCGTCGACAAGTTTCTTAGAGAAGCCAGATCGCTGCCCTCTGGTATTCTTAAAGACATTTCGCTGCTGGGTTTTCTGGTTCGTTCCGCGTAATCTTCGCTGTCCGTCGTCACAGTGGTTGATGCCAAATCGTCTCTGGATTTCGTCGTTTCTAGTTCTTCCGTGCTGTCTAGCGTTGAGAGGCTTCTCATGGAGGATAGGTCGTCTCTTAGGCGTGTAGGGGGAGCTTGGGGGGCCTGGGGGGGCCGGGGGGGCACGGGGGGCCCGGGCTCGGCGTGCGAGAGGCGCCGGAGTCCGTCGATGATGGGCGTCATGACTTCAATGTTGTCGGGCAGATAGTCGCCGTCGGTTATCGTTGGTTCGCTTGAGCTGGAAAGAAAAGAAATGTCGTTAGTTTTGTGGTAATAGCAGCTACTTAGGGCCGTGGCAAATATACTAATACTTTAAATATCGACGAACAGCTATTTTGGACTCTTTTGAGAAGGAAACGCTCGTATGTGTTACTACTCGAAAGTTCCAAATGACGTCAGTCTTGTAAAAGATGCAGCATCACCAAGTCGCTATTCGCCAATGTTTAACATTAGACACTTAATCCCAGTGGTTTTTTAGAGATGACACGAATGAATCTTCCTTTAGTTATTTAGCCCAACAAACAGTATTGCCAATCAAACATAAGACTTGATTATCTTAGATTAATAGATTATTATTATGTAAACAACCTGCAAACATTAAACTAAAAATATAGAATAAGAATCAGCTGTAAACGCTACAATTCAAAGCTTTAACAATACCATTACGTGGACGCAAATATTGTTACTAGAAATGACTTACACTCACGTAAACATTATAGGAAATAACTAGCGGCCGCCCGCGACTTCGTACGCGTGGATCCCGTTTTACCCCCAGGGGTGGAGTTTCGTAAAATCCTTTCTTAGCGGATGCCTACGTCATAACATCTACGTGCATGTCAAATTTCAGCCCGATCCGTCCAGTGGTTTGGGCTGTGCGTTGATAGATCACTATGTCAGTCAGTCAGTCAGTCAGTTATATTAGTCACCTTTGAGTTAAATATATTTAGATAAACTTACCTTTGCGTATACAGTTCTCTGCAATGCGCGTGGTCTGCATAGAACCGCGACACAAATTCCCCGATGTCGGGGTATGACGTGTCTCCCTCTGCATCGTCCCCTAATAACAACAATAAATAAATGTGTAAAATGATGTTTTCACCTATAATTAAGTTTGCATTTAACAAGTGTCATTTTTTATAGTTACTTTTGTGAAGCCTCAATGTAACCTTGTTGGTGTTCAAATAAATCTATATAATATAAAAGAAAGTCGTGTTAGTTACTCCACTTACAACTTAAGAACGGCTGAACCGATTTAGCTGAAAATTGTCAGGGAGGTAGTTTAGAGCCAGGAGAAGGACATAGGATACTTTTTATCCCGTTCGAAATTAAAAAAAAATCTGCTTATTTATTGTCATTAAGGCGGAACAAAGTTCGCCGGGTCAGCTAGTAAATAATATTTGGGAAAACGCGAGACTTCACTGGTGACTAGACACTAGATACCCAAGGGTGCCAGCCTGTAGGCCTAGGATGTGCGCCGTGATAAGTTTTATCGAGCTATTTTATCGATTTTACGAGATAACCCCTTTACATTTATTGTCTAAAATCATCAATAAGATTTTATCAAAGTTCGCATCCTGGCTATCCTGATGAGTCCAAATATCAGTCTTGTTGGCGCCACTATCTTAACTAATGGCAAGTCACAGGACCTAACTCATTAGTTCAGTGCCAACTGGTTGCAAATGGTTTTCACTTGTCTCAAGACATTCTAAGAGGTTGGAAAAGTCTTTTTTGGTACCTAAAGCTATTTTAATAAAATCTGTTTCGAGGAATCGAAAGTCCACAATGATTGATATTTAGACCACAGTCAAATAACAGATAGTAACTTACCTCCAGTCAACTCAAATGCAGACAAGTTAGAGATGTCTTCGTTGGTGCACAACAGTCGTTCCAGCGCCATCAACTCTCGCCGGTCGAGCGTCCACAAGAGAGATCGGATCTTGTGTAACAGCGTGCGAAAGGGACGGAACATGTCTGACATCTCCTCTGAAACACAAAGGGAAGTATTAGAAACAGTTATTCTACGTGAGTGAAAGAAACGGTGATATACAATGTTCGTGTATGCAAAAGTTTGCAGTTCAAACGGTGCTAAGTACTTAGTTTAATTTACGCCCGTATTCACAAACGATGCTTGCATAAGTGAAGCAGCAAATCAAACGCACAGCATTGAATAGAGCTCTGTGATTGGTTCGTGTGTCACCCTGTGCGTTCACGTGCACTGTGAGACCTGAACGGGCGTTATTCTTTTACCTGTGTATAATACTATGGGACTTTATTTAACTAAAAGTGGCTTTTAAATCAATACTTTTAATACAATTGATAGGACTTCTTTCGAGAAAAGTATTTAGTGCCCTTTCGTTTAGCCTGGCCTTACTACGGTAAATATTACATTTTCATTAATGCTTATACTGGCTAACAACAAATAAACGAAATCTTCTATTTCGTTTTCGTCTTTGAATTAATCCATGGAGTAGAAAAACGTACCTGGCAGTTTGTCTATGCTAAGCGGACCACTGGAGTAGATGAGCAGGCCACTGACTATCGCCAAGCGAGGCACGGCGAACATGAGCGCAGGATCGTACGAATCCACCTGGAATCGATATAAGGTTTCATTAAGACATGATAGTTACAAATTGACAACACTAGCGAATCGAAAGAAAAAGAACTACATATAAAAAGAGACAGCACGTTGTAGATAGCACTGAGCTAACAAAAAATGATAAAGTGCATTTTTGTTGTTGTACCATCTTAGTTTAGCTATACAAAAATACTGTCAAACTCTATACAAAAAGCACCGGTTATGGTTTTAGTTACGGTTAAAGTAAGGTGGAGCAACTCAGCCTTAGTATTGGGACTCGCTATTTCTATAAATGTGAGTTAAGCAACTGCAACAGTTACACAACACCAGAAAATAAATCATGTACTTAAAGGTTCTTTCAAATTGGACATATTATAAGACGACAGCCGTTTGCACGCACACTAACTGTTGGTAATTGACATTTTTATTCCAACGCAGATGTGATACAGTGTGCGTCCGAATGGCTAAAGTCCAGCTCAAAACGTCTTATCCCTTAAGATATCTATCATTCATTGAACTTCATACCTGTTCCTGAGTCAAAAGGTTCTGCTTCAATGCCCTCCTAAGACTCTCAGAGAACAGAACACAGATGAGCTGCTGCGCTTCGAACTCGTGCGGCGTCTTCACGTTCACCATGGCGCTGACGTAGCACAGCTCGAACTCGGCGAATAGTCTGGAAGAATGGGAGACATTATCATCAGGTCATATAGTGTCCACTACAGAAGGAGCTCTAAATGACCAGAGGAGAAAGAGGATTTGGAATATACTCGCCATGCTGGTTAGACGTGACATGAATGGTGGCAATCAGTCAATGTGTGTTTTTCTAGAGTAGTCAGTCCCTTGAAAACTAAGTCTCTGTAGAGACTAGCCATTTCTATGAGCCCACCTGTCCAATATCCTCAGCGAGCCTGGCGAAGGCCAGAGGCTCTCGAAGTTCGCCAGCGGAAGCATAGCAGTCTGTTCTTTCAAAGTGGTCCTTGGGGAATTACTGGTCTACTACCCTAAGTTCTTGGAAAAAGCGACAGGGATGGGAACGAGCATAGACTGGTCTTTACCTGTCAAATATCCTCAAGCTCCCGTGCTGCAATAGCGAATATCCTCAAGCATTGTGCTTTGGAAATTACTGGTCTACTACCCAATGTTCTTGGGATTAGCTGCCGGAATGGGAAAGAGAATAGAGACTAGTCCTTTTCATGAAGAAGAGGAGAGGAGGAAACAAGGATAGAGAGCAGTCCTATAGATAGACCCACCTGTCGAATATCCTCAAGCTCTCGTGCAGCATGTCGTCGTGCTGCGACAGCGCGAGCCCGCGCGGCCTCAGGCACTGCTCGCGGAGCAGCGAGCGAACTGTCTCCAGGCTGCGAGTGAGCGCCTTGGCCAGCGGCCGCATAGCAGCCGATTCCTCTTCGCGATTCATTATGGAAGAGCCCGCTGCTAAGCACTGGAATTAGAATATAAGGGATGATTTAGTTGCTAGTACAGAAATAAATAAAATAAGTTCCTACACTGTCCACATTCAGGTCATTTTGCGACCAATATCAGAACGTCGGTCCACCTAGTGAGCGACGACTTGAGAACTTTTCGACATCAACAGCCATCAGTTCTACGAGCTGATTGATGTATTCCACAGTCATCTAAAATGGTACATAAAACAGATACAGGATTACGCATGATAAGCAAAGGACCGACGACCTCATAAAGGTAGCAGGAAGGCGCTGGATGCAGGCCGCTACCAACCGGGCGATGTGGAAATCATTGGGGGAGGCGTATGTTCAGCAGTGGACGTCCTGTGGCTGAAATGATGATGAAACAAAGATTCTAGCATTAATTACTTCGGCCCCAAACCACAACTGGCCAGCCAGGTTGTCCTGCAGCACGTCCTCGGGAAACTTGACCCGGAAACCCCGCGCCACCCGCTCGTCGCCCAACAACTGGTCCATGATCTGGCTTGTGATGTTCAGCACTCGGTCCTGGAACAAGGAATAACATTTCAAATTAATCCATTGCGAAATTAACCTGTTAATCATCGCTTCAATGGTCGTGGTATTCCCACTTCTCGTTCCCTCTGCAATTCCTGTGTAGCCAGGATCTACAGCTTGACCGCCAACAAAAACCCTTTTCAGTGGTCATTAGGCACCTGGCTGCCGTGACGTCACATCGACGCTCTGGTACGGACGGGACGGACGCGGGGAGGCGTGAGGGCAAGAGGCGAGGGAGTCGCATTCCAACGTGGTGCGCAGTTAGAATATTAGCGCAAATTTTAGTTGCTACATAATATTTTTCTGAATGCATCCGAGAGTTGCTATTCTGATTTAGGTGTATGATAAAAAAAGAAATGCGGTGCGTGGAAGTTATTAATATAAACACAGTGTTAATTTCACTAAAACGCGGTAAAAGCCACGAGCGTTACCTAGTAAGTATAGGTGTAATCGAAATGACGCGTTTCATAATATAATATCCGTGATCACAATCGCTTATATTAGCCGATAGGAACGAATGTCCAGCTCGTGATTTCATAATAAAGCATTTTGTATGCAATTTATTATTAAATAGATTACCAAGTTGCGTTCAATATATTGCTTCCGAGCACTGATAACTGATAATAACTGAACCAATAAATTGCATAGTCAAACTTGTTATCTTTAACAAATATTATGTAGATAGGTGCAGTACACTCAGCGCAGTTAATTTTGTTTTGACTGCTACACTGCCTTAGCTAGCCTGGTAGACTACAACGCAAGTAAAACTATACTACCATAACAACTATTACTCACTATCTTGTTTATGTACCTGTAACTAGCTTTTTGCTCATGGTTTTGCCCCCCTTTAGGTCTGTCACAGCTCAGAAAAACTACATAACGCGAGTGAACCCTTCCAAAAGCCGGGGTAAAAACTATCCTGTTTTTCCCTGGGTCTTCAACCATATCTACCCCTTTCATCCAAAGCGGTCCAGTGGTTTAGACTTGAAAAGGTGACACACAGACAAGAGTTGCTTTCGCGTTCATAATATTAGTATGGATTAAGGCATAGGCATAGCATAGTGTTGCACAGTTGCATCGCTCGTGCACTAATACATAACATGAGTTCGACTCGATAACCCCTGACATTGGACGGCCAAGTTTGTTGTACGAGCACAGATGTTCAGCTGTTAGATAACTTTAATCTGTTGATGGAATCTGAATCTTAGTTCAAGAAGTTCTTTGTGAAAGTATTCACTTATGCCTGCAGGCAGATTTTTGTGTTACGACACTTAAACTTGAAGCATTTGTCACAATGGAAGTCGAGCTGCGTTCACTTTCCGCATTCAATGTGGCAAATCTTTTAGATGAGCCTTTAGGGACCTGTGTCAAATCGCTGCAATGGTTACACATTAGAGTAATTAGATATCCAACAAGCAATATAACAGTGGGGCGGAAAATCGTTATTATGCTCATAGTCATGCAACGATCTCCACTCATAAATGATGGAAAACTACTGAGTTTTATTAGAAGATCTAGAGTTTGATAGCTCTTTCGACTACAGTGTGTAAAGGTTATGGCATACTGTAAAAAACCAAATAGACTCTTGCAACAATCCATTCAGAAACGGCTTTCAGTTGTTGAACACCAGTACTGATAGACCTCAGCGAGTTCAATTCAGTCCAGTGAGCTCCAGTGACAAAAATACCCCCTGTAGTTGTAAAAAACATCTGACGCTCATTAAGCGCAATCAGGTGGACCACTTAGATCGGAACCAATCCAATATCGCAGCGTGACCAGTCGTAACGCCAGCATAACACCCAAAGAACCGTGTTTTAGATGTAACCAAGCGGCACGAGTCACGAAATGCACCTTATTACTTAAATCTCCAAAATATTAGACTTACATTACAGTAGTTAGAGTTAGTATAAAGTCGATGATTATTTAAAAGATAAAAATGTTTGGGATACGTTACTGCCTAGCTCGCATAAATATTTATAACTTTGTACATTTTAAAGCATGTAAACCTTTGAAAAAGAGGCTGACAATAGTGACTGAGTTTCTTGCGCTGCTTCTTCTCAGCACTGGCCCATTTATTGTCCTGAAGCAGTGGTAGGGTTAATACTGGGACGTGTAAAAGTGCTTTTTTTAAGCCTATTTACAGAAATAAATGAGTTTTAATGAGTTTTTTAGTTTTGTTAAATATCTGCAATTCGGAACACTAACAACAAGAACTCAATACGTAAACATAGTAGCATTAATGTTCAGCTAGTAACGCCCGTATTCACAAACGATGCTTGCTTAAATGAAGCAGCAAAACGCACAGCGTTAAATAGAGCTCTGCGATTGGCTCGTGTGTCACCCTGTGCGTCGACGCGCACTGTGGGACCTCATAGTAATGTTTGTGAATACGGGCGTAAGATATTCGCATTAGGTCGAAAGATAGAATGTTTATCAAACAAATGTTTTGATATTCTAGTGGGTGTGTGAGAAACGCCCCTAACGCCCTTTTCTGTTCGTGACAGCTCAAAATGGCATAAACACAAACACTGGCCTCAAACAAAGTTGTTTATATTGTTTCACATATTAAAGTAGCTAGGCTTTCTAAAAGGGGTCATTGTGGGAGTCTAAAAGTCGATTCGTCACAATTTGTAACTTTATATGAGAGTAAATTCGTCATATGAATGACAATGTGTAGGTTCACAATCCACGCCAAAATAATTTAGTTACAAGAAAATAAAAGAATACGAATTTACACGTGTAAACAACGATTCGTCACAGGGAAAACGTGTAATGTTTTTTCTTTCCAAGAATCAACTTTGAGGAAGATCTAAAATAAACACACTACTATTTTGAAGACACAAACTTCTAATAATCTAGTGCTTCATATAATTTACTTTGATATGTGGGACAATTTCCACCTCCCGTTCACACCGCTGCAACTTCTGTGTAGCCAGGATCTACAGCTTGACCGCCAATAAAAACCCAACCAGTGAAGGTCAACTTTGTCCCAGGGGAACGTTATTATGATATAGGTACCTTTAACAAACCTATTAAAAAATCAGGATTCATTAACAACAAAGTAATGGTTCCCACACCCTCAAATAAGACAATCAGGAATTAACTAGGTAGGTATTATTTTCATTTATTTCGTATCACATCCTTCAGCAGACATATCGATTCAGCGACCCAAATAGCTCAGGGTTACCTTATAATTTTCCAATAAACTAGTAGAGGTCTCCTCCATATGTATTCTACGACTAATCGCATTACAATTCTAATTCAATACGCCCCGAAAGCGAGCATGACGCACTTTTGATCTAATGAATGACATTAGTAATACCAAAATCCAGTTTGGATCAGTTTAATCCGGATTATTTCAGATTAATATGGAAACGTGTGGTATTCAGTTTACGTTTGAAGTTCTTGAATTACAGTAATAATGTGTCATGTAGGTACGTACAGGGTGAATTTTTCAAGTGGTAGTTGATCTAATGTACCACAAATAGCGAAAAAAGCCGAAAGAATCTTGAGGGTTGAAAATTATTTTTGTTTTGTCCGATTCAGAAAATAGAAAGTAGCCTTAATGTTAATACTTTATTGATCAGGATTTTCAGCCATAAAGTTTTCTAATTCTAACGAGAACTTATCATGATCTTTTGGATGCAAGACAACACCGACGGCGTATTTTTTTCTTAGTTAGTAGACTTTTAAAAGGTTCTTTCACACGCCCGATCCATGATATCTTTTTAAACAATAACCCTACTGTACTGTGCCTACTAGGTATTCTTCACTACTTTGAGACAATAACATGTGCAAGAAAGTCTTTAGCAACATAATTTAAATCCGACTGTACCAATACGTACTACTGAAGAAGCCCCATTTGTTACTACGGCCGTGCCAGACGCATTAATGTTTTTATGTCTGACAGACATCCAATCAGTCTATCATTAGATAGAAACATACTAAATCGCATAAGATAATAGTTCCCGTATGATCATGGCCACTTTAGGTGTCACGAAGTATTTGACGCTGATTTTTTTTATGCATAACGAGGCAGTTATTTGATCACTGGACTTTGACGGAATAGATTGCCACCTTAGAAGTGTCATGCCACCATAGTAACTGAGTTTCTTGCGCTGCTTCTTCTCAGCACACTGTCCCAGTTATTGTCCCGAAGCAGTGATAGGGTTAAATAATACTGGAACTACAGGCATCAGCGAGGTTACTACTTTATCCAAGGTTCGTATATTCCCATCGCTGTCTTGCAAAGCGAAATTCCTGCAGGAGCAACAGTGACAGATAACGATGAGATGGCGGAAACGTGTGCAAGGGATCCCATTATGTTAAAAACTCACTCTCATCAACTTTTCCAGCTCGTAGATGTAAAAAAATGGGACACGTTAGCAATCGGGCCTTATCAAGCGAACATAATAAAAAGTGTAGCTTTCTATCAATGATTTCTACTATCGAGAAGTTTTTCAATCGATGTAAACGTCTGGCAGATTTCACACTACCTACCAACATACATACTCGTTCATTCGTAACAAAATAAACAATTACGTTGATTTATTATTAATTTTATTTTCACAACTGAAATAATGATGCTTATTGCAGCAGCAAGGTGCACAGGCAATTAGATTCATCAACATTCTTCAGGAAAAATTTACAAAGTACAACAGTAACTTCTCTAAAACATCCCTTCAAATCCTCAACTCAACCCATCTGGCAATCATAGAGTTAAGGCCAAAATCCTCCATTTGCCCCTGGTAAATTACTGAAGATTCACCTCCTGTAGAGTGTAGTGGATAGAAACTAAAATACCTGATGATGATGATGCCCTTCAATCAGATCAGTTAATTCCAACATTTGATTTTCAGGCACTTCGACAAAAACGGCAATTGAGTTTGCAAATATGATAGTTATGGTTCCTATATTATCTACCTATCAAAATCTATAGGGAAATCGCGTTTTGACAGGTCATAAAAAGTCACGTCAATCGACTCATGGTG